CCTTCCTTCCCTTCCCTTCCCTTCCCTTCCCTTCCCTTCCCTTCCCTTCCCTTCCCTTCCCTTGATTCCATGAGCTTAATACAGTACTGCAATTAAATCAAGAAGAGAAGCTCCTATTTTCATTTGAAGCTATATCAAACAGCAAATGATGCATGTTACAGAAGCTTGATTCCATGTGTCTGCAACCCCAAGTTTAATCAGGGGAATATATTTATAAAAGGAAAATAAAATAATAATGAGTACACAGAAGAAATAAGCACAGCCTTCCTTTAAAAAATAATGTTTGAATAACTGAGCCAGTAGATGTTAAATTCACTTTAATAAGCACTTACCTTTTCTAATTGTATATATTATAAATTGCACAGGATTCATTATCATCATCATCATCATCAGGTTCATGTACAGTACAACTTTGTTTCCCCATTTTCCTAAAATCCTGATTGCCCATGCACCTCCTGTCTTATGATTTAGCTACATATCTAACTCGGTCCAGAAACTGAGTAATTTATTTTCTCTTACCTCGCCCACTCAGAGATTTTGTTGCCAGCTGAAATCATTTCCAGCAAAATCCTGAATGTAAAGTTGTTCAACCAATTTGACTTTGGAGAGCTGGAAAAGTAATTCCATCATTTTTAAAAAAAATTTGTTTATTACTTCTGCATTAAAAAAAACTCAGCAGAAGCCTCTATGGCTATCAATTAAAGGATTTTCTAATCAGGTGCATTGTTAAATATATCTCTTCCCGGATTCAGTTAATTTCCTGGTGATTTCTTGGAGACCTCACACTTAAAATTTAAGATTGGCTGAGTTATTTAATACAGGTCTTAGTCCCATTAGACAGAATGGAATTGGATCAATTCAAGATATCCCAATGTGCGCACGCACGCCCTCACGTACACACACACCATGCTATTGTTGCAAAGTTCTTACATCTCTTATGCAGAATTCTCTATAAGGCACCAGGCAAGCCCCAAGATAGTCTCCACTAAGTATCAGCCTTAATTTCTAACCCACATGCATTCCATTCTGCAAAAAGTCAGGCCTTGTAGTTTAAACATTGTAGTTCTAGACTAAAAAAGAGTAAAATCCTTATCAACCGTCACTTTTCATGCATTCATCTAATCAGCAAATTGGATTTATATCAGATTCTGTTGAAAACTTTGGAGCCATATTGTTGTGTCCTAAGGAAGCTTCATATGCATCTTCTCATGGTCGTACTTGAACCTCCATCCAGTCTTCTATTGCATTCCTTTTCTTTTTCCCACTGAACCACTGGGCAGTAGTAAAACAAGACTAAACCAGTTTTCAAAAAGAGTTTCCAAAAGAACACCTCTGAACCAAGTAAGGCACCCTAAGGAAAGCATTTTGGAGGTGGGAGAATCACCATCTATCAGAACATAGAACAGCCATCTCACAGCAAAAGGGAGGGTTTGGGGAGAGGGAATTCAGGCAGGAGAGAGTTGTAGCATTCTAAAAATACAACCAATCTGCACTGTGAGAGAGCTGTCTTCTTACACTCTGTTTTTTAAGGATCTTAGATGTTATCTCAAGGCACTGAAATTGTGATGGATAATCAGCTTTCTTGATATCCTGTGCTATTAGTAGCTTCTTAATTTGTTTTGTTTTGTTTTGTTTTTGTTACAGTCTTTCAGCAAAAGGTGACCAGGACTCAAGCTGGTAATGAGAAGCTGTTGAATGCTGTCAGGAAACCAGGTATAGGATTTTATACTGTTGTTGATTTTGCTCTGTGTGTGTGCGTGTGTGTGTGTGTGTGTGTTTTAAGTAATATAAATTCAGTTTAACGGCAATACAGTGATTCATTTCTCTTATCGCTTATAATCAGCCTGGCATGTCCAGCCATATTAGGATTGCAGCTTGCCAGAATTCATAGCCAACATGACTAATGTACATGCTGGGTGAGAACTGTGGGAATTTGCAGTCCCAGCATATCTGGAGGACACCGGGTTGGGTAAGGTGGGAATATAGCATGCAACAATTAACAATACAACTATCTACACAACTATTCTTTATTAATTGGTTTCACAGATGCAAATGATTGCACAGTCCTGTGGGATAAATATTGACAAGGCAGACAGGGTGGCCATCTTGGGGCCTGCAGACACAGAAGGCCCGTCAGGGCTTCTATCTCAAAACAACAAAGTTGCTGCATTTGCTTAGACTGGCAAAATGGAGGAGTAGCAGACTGAAGACAACTAGAGTTTATATGTCACCCAGAGTCATGTGGCATATCAACTTAATATATCATTATCATTATTATCATCTAGGGGCAGACAATTTCAATGCATGCTAACTAAGGTGATTGCTAGATGGAAGCAAACAGATACAGAAAACCTTCTTTGCTGGTATCTAATAATTGTCCAGATGACTTGAAAATAAAATTGCAGTGATTTTCTCATTGTAAACTTTCAACTTCCTATTGGCTCCAAGCCCAATATCTTGAAAGGAAATAGGCTGGTGATCACTATAAACTCTTGAAATCATCTCCATCTTCTAAAATTTTCCTGTCCTGGCAGAGGGGATACGTACATAATTAATTATACTTCTTTATTATTTTATAAGTAAGTGTAATTGCTTGGGGAAATCCCTAGGATGAGAACCATTCAGGACTTGATAGTTCCATTTATAAAGTAAATCCAAGAATTTATATCCTGTTGGGTTTACTGTAGAATACTTCAGGTTAAAAGGGAAGTTAAGATAAAGTTCATCAGGATCAGATTTCAAGCATTTTGCTATTTTATACATTAAAATATTGCATTAAAATCTCCTATTAATATAATAGTATCTGCTAGAAAGTTATCTTCTAATATCTATTGCATTTTCCAGTGTAGCCCACCAGTCCTAATTTTGAAATTTGGCACTTCTAGGAAACATATAAATGTTTAGAGTTATTAGGGCAGGCTCATTCATTACTATGAATCTTATTATCAGCAGGAACAATCATAGTCCATATTTTTTTGAGGTGCCTCCAGATTCCACAAAAATAGCCAAAAAGCATGTCCCATAAAGTGTGCTTTCCATGCTGCAATAACCCATGATCTAAATCCTGCTAAATAAATTATATCCATCTGGCTTTCTGGAATCCAAGTTTCTTGCAAACACACTATATCGTGCAATTTTAATAACTTTAAGGAATTCTTACCAGCAGTTTGAGCATTCCAACCTGCTATATTCAAAACCATGATGGATAAGCCACCTGAAGTTGCAGAGGTTAATTGTCATTTGGTGTGTAAGGTCTTCATCCTAATTGTAGAATCAGGAAGATACATTGTATTTACAACTTAAACACTAATAGTGTCAGCTTGATTTGACCCATGGGAAGCTTTGCTCTTACTTGTCCTTTAGTGCCAACAACTTCATGTTTGGACTGGATTTCACCATTGGATTGGAGCACAAAGTAATTTCATCAGTGATCTTTAGTCTAACCACATTGGTTTGCTAAAACCGGAATACAACCTGAGTCTCCTACTAACTGAGTTACATTGCAGTTAGTTCTTAAGGAGTTAAGTGCAAGTGGTTCAGGGGGCCTTGTAAGAAAAGAGACTGTAGAGTTTGATATCTCTTGAAAAGTGGAGCTATATAAATTATTTTCATACATGAATTTAATTCATGGACCTTTGCCCTTTAGAGGACTATACCTAGGGCATTCGCTTTAGGAGCTATCCTTAAAAAGCTAAAATGTCCCCTCGCCCTCCAAGGGACAGGGTAGTCATCAGGTACTGTAAAGCCTCATATACAGGGGCATAACATAATGTAATATCTTTCTGAGTGCTCAAGGGAAGGCGGACTGCATATACTATTCTGATAGATTTTATGTATCTATTCTTGCAACACCACTGAGCATCAGGACCTGGAAATCCCCTAAAGCTCATGCTTTGTAAGTGGTCATTTAAAGTGCAATGGTCCATGCGAACCTCATAGAATAAGATATGGAAATATACATTTGATCCCAGTAAGGATGAAACTGGTCATTCACTACCTCCTGGTACTCAGTATTCCTTGACTTGGTTTTCCTTTCTACCAGCAAGGTTGGGGGGGGGGGGGGGGG